GGTGCGAGGAGGAAGAAAATGAAATCTTAAATAGGTCCATCTGTCAGAAGCCAGGCCCCATTCTACCTTTTTATAGAATTCCCAGTTTCCAAGCTGCTGTCCCGGCTGCTTCCAGGGCCCTCTGAGCAAACACAAAAGCCCTGGCCTCCCACACACCTCCCCCCGTTGTGTTGCGGGGCTGGGGGGGCTTTGCCTCCAGATACTGTAGCCTCTCTCCCTGACAAGTAGGCATTCATGGGCTTTCAGGTGCTGGGGCCTGGGGAGGACGCCCACAATGGGCTTGGTGTGCAGGGGTCACAATGCCCGCATTATGGCCGCCCCGCCGCCCCTCTGGTGGGGCCCTGCCGGTGAGCCACGGAGATCAAAGGCCTGGGAACTGAGTCCCCAACAAAGGGCCAGAGGAGAGGCCTCACCCAGGCTTTCTTCTTTCTGGGGTGTGAAAGGAGCTGCCATCAGGAGCTGCCATCGCTGGCTCCGGTGCAGGGGAATGGATGCCAGAGCTCAGCGGGGGAGAGCCTGGTCCCTGGGGAAGGACAAGAGGCTCCCCCTCCCCCACCCCACATGAAAGGCAGGGGTAGGCCTGGAGGTAGGTGCCAGTAGAGGGGGCAGGACCCAGCCCCTTTCCCTGCTCAGAGGGCACCAGGGCAAGGGAGGGACCAGTGTTTAGGCTCCAGGGGGACTGACAGCTTCATCAGTCCCTACATGGGAGGTTTCCTCTGAGTAGCAGGACCTGGCCTTCCCTGGTGTGAAGAAGAAATGCAGGAGAAAGCAAACAGCAGCAGTGTGGGGAGCTGTCAGTGCTCACCCCACTGGGGATGCAGCTGGCACACTTGTCTGGGGGTTGCCTCTGGAGTCTGGTGGGAGTTTATCGAGCAGACACCGCCCAGGGCACAGTCCAGCAGCCCCTGTGGTCTGGGCTCTGCCCACACCCAGTGTTGGGAACCAAAACATTTTGCCCGGAAAGCAGAAGCAAGAGCTGTAGGCCTCTCTGAGTCATCGCAGGGAAGGCAGGGAGCAGCAGTAAGGAGGGAGGTGGGGCCAGCCGCAGAAGGAGCAGCGCCTTGTAAACTACAAGGGCTGGGCTTCAGCTGTGTGGCCAGGGCCCAGCTTTTGTTCTAGCTCTTTCCTCTTCCTGGTCCTGCATGTAGTAAGTGCTCAGCGAACAGTCCAGCCCCACCTCCCGTCAGGCTGGTTGTAGAGTTGGGGCCGCAACAGGGGCTTTGCAGTTGCTAATCTCAATCTCAGGTGCTCGCTTTTAGCAGCAGCAGGAGAGAAATGAATTATTTTCGAGGGCGTTTTTAAAGGTTGGTTCTTTAACAGGGTCTCTGTTTCTTTGAACTCTCCTGGTGCTTCTGTTTCATAGGGATCGATTTTTGTGATCGTAAGAGAAATACACGGTTATTGTAAAAATGGGCCACAGGCTGGCATAGGTTCTTCTGTCTCAGCTGCTCCCTGGCATGTTGTCTCCTGTTCATGCTTCCCTATGGGTTAGGGGTTGTTGACCCCCCACTAACTCCTCCTCAATCACAGCCTGTGCTGGTTTCTCTCTTGCAGCCAGACGCCACTCCCGGGTCCGGCCCAAGGTCACTGTCCTGAACTATGCCTCCCCGATGGCCACCGTCAGCCGGCCACTGAATGAGACGGCCCTGACCCCGCTGACGGAGCAGGAGGGGGAGGCCTACCTCGAGAAGTGCGGGAGCGTCCGGCGGCACACGGTGGCCAACGCCCACTCGGACATCCAGCTGCTGGCCATGGCCACCATGATGCACTCAGGCCTGGGCGAGGAGCCCGGCGGGGAGGACAAGTGCCTGCTCCTGCCACCCAGCTTCTCCCCACCCCACCGCCAGTGCTCCAGCGAGCCCAACATCACCGACAGCCCCGAGGAGCTGGAGGAGGTGGCGGGGGGCAGCCAGGAGGGCTCGGAGCCGAACTGCGCTTCCCTCAGCTGACTGCCCAGCTCTGCCTCGCAACCAGGGTGAGGACGGCTCCATCCTGTGAGTCACCAGCGGGCTCTTCCTTTGGGCAGAGCTGCCTTATGTCTCCTTGGGTACAGGCCTAGTCTGAGTGCCCTGGGGGAGATCCCTGTTGTAAACCTGTCCGTTTTTGTGACTGTGACCACCTCTCCGCAGCCATACAGACCCAGCTGCCTAACGCCGACTTTCTGACTTCCAGCCTTGCCTGCCTGACTCGGATCCTCGTACTGGACAGTCCGATGCTCCCCACGACGGGTCCCAGTGCCCTTGGCATGGTGTAGCAGGAGGCTGTCTGAGCCACACATGGAGCCAGCAGGGATGTGCTGGAGTTCCCCTTTAGGTCTGGTGACACAGAGGCTTGTGGGTGGAAGGATCCCTCTCCTCCCTTGCCTTTGTTTGTGGGGAGCGAAAGGACACGCAGCCCCTACCAAGCAGGGCTCTGGGAACGTGCCTTCCTTGTTTTAGTTTCAGAATTACTGGGACAGAGTTGCCCCCCTGGGTTGTGAAGGTCTGTCTTCACCTACGTCCGGAGGGCCTCAGGGCTGGATTAAGCCTCAGCCTTTCCCGCTCAGGCTCCCCCCAAGCTGTAGAACTAAGCTCCCGGGTGGAGTAGCTGGTGCCTTCATCCCTCTTTTCCTTCAGAAACTGACCGTTTTCCTGTTGGGGGTGAAGGGCTGGCGGATGCCAGCCAACTAGTTTTATTCCTGGATTTCACTTGAATTTTCAAAATGTGCATCGTTTCAAAAAAATTGTTTGCAAATATTTGCACCTAGGATCTTGCTTTGCTCCTTTCCAATGGGGTCTGTCTTCAAGCTAAGAAACAAGCAAACCCCCCGGGAAAGGAGCCTGAAAGTGGTTTGGGGTGAAAGTGATCGTGGTGGGCAGGTCTCTCGGGCTGCAGAACTCTGGAAGCAGCTGGATTTGCAGCCAGAACGGCCTGTGTTTGTGATTGTCATGGCTCGTAGGAGAAGCTGCAGCGAGGTAGGGCGACGGCTAGCCTTGCGCACAGAGGGTTGCAGCCAGGGGAACGTCTCAGTGCTTTCCAGTGGGGGAAGCAGGGCAGGCGTAGGTAGGACCTTTTGGAGAGATGTTCGTTCCCTGTGATTAAAGAAGTACCCAGAACTGCTGGAATTTCTAACACGTGAGGTCTCCAGATGCTCTTGGGGCAGCAGGCTCTGTACCATGCTGTCTCCTTAACGCTGCTCCCTCCAGGTCTGGGCTTTTTATGCACCTCGAACCTCTTATTTTCTCTTTGTATTTGCCTGTTGGCCCCACTCATAACAGCTCTAGAAGAAAAGAGAAGGCTCCCCTGGATCCTTCTGGCACCTCCTAGGTATCCTGTTAGGCTTGGAAACGTTAATAAAATCTCAGAGACGGGGGCCAGCTTGGCTTCAAATGTGGCAGGAGGAGGCTGGGAGAGGACGAGTGAGGTGTCAGCTGCCAGCCGCCGAAGGGCCTCCTAAGATCCTCTGAGCCTTGACAGCGTTTCCCTTCCGGGCAAAGATCTGAAATACGACCAGAGCGGTGCTTTTGATGGCTTGTAATTTGGAAATCGTGTTTAACAAGTTGTTTCATGTTCATCCTTCTACGAGAGTGATGGAAGAGCAATGTCCAAAGGAGATCTGAGAATTTCAAACACAAACAAATAATAATCTTGGTATGTGTGTTGGATAAAGTCCACAAATTGACGAACATGCATTAGCAGATGGAACATCAGTAGGTAATAGCACGATGATTTATTTAACTGATGGCTCTGGTCCTTTAGTAGGCTGAGCACTCGGGACTGGTATTTATTGATGCAGGCAAAGTAATTAATCATGCTTGGTTTTTTGTTTCTTTTTAGTTTACAATGTTAGCAATACATATGTTTTGAAATGCTTTTTCCATATAGTGAGCGGCCCCGATGTGGATAGCAGTCATCAGTTAAATACATGAGCTCCTAGGTGGAGAAGGGGAGTGTCAGCCCAGACCCAGTGGACTCGGTGTTGCTGATGACTGTTAGCCAGTTTACAGCATCACCTGTGATGTACACACCGGGTGTTTGTGCAGTAAATATTTCAGACTGTACCCATAACAATGTTATTGGTGTCCATGGGCATTCCAGCCATCGGAGCTGGTGCAGGAGGCCAGCTGTCGTGTTTTAACCACTGTTGCTCCCCTTTGTGAGATGAAGGTTCATTCTTGTTGGTCTGAGCTCGGATCTTCCTGTGGCTAAGGTTTAAGGACATGAAGCGATCGCTCTAAACTCCGAGTGCCTCACAAACCCCAAACCTCTCATGCTGTCTGTGTCCAAAACGGATTCAATAAATACCATTTTGCACGCGTTACCTACCCTGTTGCCACGTGGTGGTGCCTTGATTGAATCTGCCCGCGCAGCAGACCACTGGGCGTCCTGCCCTCGCCCTCTGTCCCCGCTTTCCCTGCCTCCGTGTCCCTTTTCCTGCAGCCTCCCTGTGGGAGCGGCGGCAGACTTCCCTCGGCCAGTCTCCTTGGGCTTTGCCTGCCAGCCGTGTCTGGCTTGGCAAGCCATCTCCTGGAGGAACGGCCTGTCTGCGGAGCTCGGGAAACACCGAACAGAGTCCGAGAGGGCAAACGACTTCTCGAGCCAGCTTGGTCTCTTCCGCCGCGTCTGAGCTAGAGGGGCCGCGTCCCCCTCACTCGTGGACGTCTCGGGTGTTCCCCTCAGGCTCTGTTGGGTGAAAGGAATTTATACTATTTTACTGTCGGCCTAAGTTTTCCTAGGAGGCCTGGGGCAGTAGGAGCCCGAGACCCCTGAAGGCTTAGTAAGAGCATTTAAAGAGGTGCGACCTGAGCTGATTGAAGGGCCTGGAGGATGTGAAGGGGGCGTGTGGACGTTTTTGTTGAGCCTTCCGAGGCTGTAACTGGGGACAGCGGCTGCTGAGCACTGTGCTCGGTGGGTTTCCTGTCGGTGCACCACGGCACTCCCTCGCCCAGCCGCCCAGCCGCCCAGCCGCCCGGCGCGTATTTGGGCAGCTGCCACTATGCGGAGGCACTTTCCTTGGTGCTGGAGATACAGTGCTAGACGGAACCAAGGTGCCTGTTTTTTTTGAGCCTACAGTCTTATCAGGTCAACACAGGAATTTCAAATAATGTGAACAACAGATGAAATAAAATGGCCAAAGGCAGTGGCTAGAGGGTGACCTTGGGTGAGGTGGCTCAAGAAAGTCTCTCTGACGGGGACTTGAGCTGAGGCCCGAGGGGGAAGGGGCCAGCCTTACAATGTGTTTTCAATGACCACAGACTGGTGGCTCAAAGCAGCACGCACTTGTTAGCAGTGCTGTGGGCTAGAAGCCTGACATGGGTCTCCCTGGGCTAAGACCGCGGTGCTGGCAGGGCCGTGCTCCTTTCTGGAGCCTCCAAGGAGAATCTACTGCCTGGCTCTGCGAGCTGCCAGAGGCTGCCATGCGCCTTGGCTCCTGGCCCTCTTTCTCCAGCTCCAAGCCAGCAACGGTGGGTCAAATCCCTCTCATCCCATCACACCGACCTACGTCCTGCCTCCCTCTTCCACCTTTAGGGACCCCTGTAGTTCTGTTGGGCCCATCTGGATAATTCAGGATAATCTTCATCTCAAGATTTCTGTGGGCACTGCCTCTGCTGCCCCCTCTGCTGCTGTCTCTCTCAGTAAGAAAAAGGCTGGCCAGGGTGTGCTGGAGCCCTCTGGAGGCTGAGACTGCGCTGGGCAGGTGGGTGCTGGTCTCAGTGTCCAGGGCACACTGGCTGGCCTGTCCTAGAGGCCTTGGACTCCAGCAATGACCATGATTCTGGAGTCCCTTGCTCAAATCTTTCTCTTCTCTTCCCATATGCCTGTCAGGCCCTCATCACCCCCGTCAGGCCCTCATCACCCCGTCAGGCCCTCATCACCCCGTCAGGCCCTCATCGCCCCCAGTCAGGTCCTCATCACCCTGTGTGGACCTCATCGCCCCATCTACAACTTGGTACCAATTTGCCTGCAGACTTCATCTCTCCCTGGGGATGTCCCCAACTGATTTTTCTAAAGTGCAATTCCTACTTAAAACTTCTTCCTGGCTTCCATTAAAATCCACATACCTGAACTTGTCTTACACAGTTGCCTAGGTCTTCACTCTACCTTCAGAAGTATGCCTTTCTCACCAAGTCACTCATTAAGTTGGTTCTTAATTTCTTTGACCTTTTGGCCTACGTTTGATGACCTTTGAGAAGAATCCTAAGCAATGTAAATAACTTGAATCTTAGTAGGCTCCTGAATTCTTTCATATTTACAGGACCACATAACATTTAAGAAGTACCTAAACTTCTGTCTTATATCAGTTAAATATCGCAGATAGTTTTGTCTGGGGTCCAACTTATGAGGTCATTCCATTCTCTGTGGACTAATTAGGATCAGGTCAGTTGCCTGTCAACCAAAACTTCTCCTGCCCATTCTAAGGTAGTTTGGAGACGGGCTCAATGAATGGAAATAGCATAAGGCTTCTGGTTCTGGCCATAGGGGAATGGCTTGTCTCAGATTAATCTTCCTGCCAAAATAATTCTAAAAGCTGGACAATATATATAAAGCAATCGTTTGAAGGAATTGGAGAGCACCCAGTGCAGGCAGGATTTGAGAGGCTATGACCCCTAAGAGAAGGGAAATGTATTAGGCAATCTTCACATTCACCCTGGTTTTTCCTAAGGGCATTTTGCCAAATCGCTGGTGGGGGTGGGTGGTGGGAAGAATGGTGATAGCAGTAGCAGCAGTCTGACTGGGCTGAGATCAGAATTTAAGGCAGCCAGAGTTACTGGGACTTGGAGGAGGAAGGCTGGAGAGGACTTCATGAGACAGCTACTCTTCAGGCTTTTGGCTGACTCCTAAGCTGAGCGTGCAGTGAGAACTCCAGGAAACCCAGCAGAGAACAGCAGCTGGGAAGCTAAAGAGCTGAACAGATGTGAGCTGTTGCACAACAGTGAGGAGACAGAGGTTCAAGTCCCACTGAGGTAGAGGGGCTTTGACAAATATCCTGGGCTTTTGGGTTAAGACGCCAGAAAGGCCACACTCTAGGAGTCAAAGTCATGCTCAATAGGAAGATGGTAGACACAACTATATCTGTAATTACATTAAATGTAAATGGACTAAACATTCCAACGAAGACAAAATAGTCAAACCAGATTAAAAGTTAACAATATGCCATTTATAAGAGACTTTAAATGTTGGGACACAGAAAGGTTGAAAATAAAAAGATGGAAAAAGATACATACCATGTAAATGCTAGCAAAAGAAATTTGGTGTTGCTAATTTACAGTCATGCAAATTTCATTATGATAAAGGTGGATTCAAAAGAAAGATATAAATTTACAATACATAAATTATCACTTATTGGTCATCAATTATATGCCAAACATCACCCTAAGCATTTCACATTCATTGTTTTGTGTAATCCTCTGAGCAGTTTTATGAAGTAAATGTCATCCTCTCCATTAGATGAGGAAATTGAAGCTCTGAGAGACTGAGCAATTCGACTAAGGTCAACACAACTAGAAAATAATAGAGACAAGATTCAAACCTAGTTCTGTCTGACCTCTTGCCAAAGAGCTTCTAAACACTGCTCTGCTCTCTAAGCACCATGCTGCCAGTTGGAGAGGACCCCTGAGGGCCCAGGAGAGGACATTCTGTGGGGAGTCCTGGGACTCTGGACTGGAAACCCTGCAAGAACTAAGATTGTTTGTGTGACTCTTTTGCACATGCATGCACATTACACACACACATACACACCCACACCTGTGTGAATGCTTTGCCCTTCCATACACATGATCCCCAAAAGGTGCAGAGACCTTCCAGGATGGACTATTGAAACCTGACTTTGAATTTCTTAGTCCAAGTTCTCAAGAATCTGGTCTGGTTCAAGAATCATGTATTTGTCCCTGATTCAGTCAATCAGCTGAACTCCACAGAGAAACCAGGGCTAATAAATTTTAGATGCTGTTACCAATAACTTAAAAATTGGTAAATTTTATCAACAAAGTGAGTTTTTAAAAATTAAGTCAATGTAATACAAAAGACATGTTTGTGGTTTAATAAAAACAGAAAAATGCAGAAGTACAAAGAAGAAAATAAGTCTCTGTTATTTCACTTAGAGATTAAAACTGAAAGATTACTGTACAAAAATTACTAAATTTTACTTTTACTTTGAGTAGAAGAAACAACTGAAATGAGGAAGTCGCTGAACTTAGTTTCTTTATTCACAACAGAGCTATTCATCTCCAAATGACATCTCTAAAGACAAAATAAGTTAGGAAAAAATATTGAGGTTGGCTTTTCTATTTAAATATGTGTTTCTTGACGGTCAGAGTTTAATTTCCCCACGTGGACAACTGTTTCATAAAAATCGGGGGATATTTCTGATGTTTAAACAAAGTGCCAGAATTTTTAGAGTAAAAACAAAAGAACAAAGTTGAAAATCTTAGCAAACTTTTAGATAAACTTCAAAGAGAAATTACTAGGGAGTAAATGACTAGTTTGTAAGCCAAATAACTACAGAAATGACAGATCACCTATTTAAAAAGCAGGAAGAAGTGATTGTATCTAGTGTCTAAAATAAATCCAAGGAGACTGTACATGAATTCTGAGTATCAGTCAGTTTTCTCCTCCCTCTGAATTAATTGGTTCTTGGTTTTGAATGTATCTGCCGCAGCATAAATGTTCTCACTCAGAGGTATAAAGTAGACACACTCCATGTTCATCTTTCACTCACTGCAAAGGAGAATTATTTAACACTTGGAAATAAGGCAAAAAGTTAGGCTGATGTCCTTTCAAAGTCATACTGAAGGATTATTTAATTTTCTAGGGAAATGTACCTGTGTTTGATTTTGCTATTTATTATTTGAGTATAGCCTAGACACTGTGAAGTTACATGTTTATATTTTTCTATCTGGTAGGAAGGATAACCTCAAAGGTTTTAATTTTATTTAAGCCTGCAGGACATTAACCAGTTTCTTCTGTAACCTACCAATCATAGTCTAACATTCTTTTTAGTTTTGAAGATGCTTTCCCTGGTGGATCACATAAACTCTTTTTCCTTTAAGTGCTCCTGGAATGAGCTTTACCATCTAATGGCTCCATCGTAAATTAACAAGATGAACAAAACCTGTGACATATGTTCATTCTATCAAACGAGAAGCGTGATTTTAACATTTTAACAATTATACTTTGACTTAGTTGACAGACCTCAGATGGTACTTTCTCTCCGTCTTCTGTGGCTGTGTGTGTGTTACGTGCTGTTGGGTCGGCTCTGACTCTTGGCGACTCTATGAATGAGTGACGTCCACAATGTCCTGTCCTCAACAGCCCCGCTCGGCTCCTGTAGACTCACGCCTATGGCTTCTTTTATGGAGTCAATCCATCCCATATTTTGCCTTCCTCTTATCCTTCTGCCTCCTATTTTTCCAGCATTTTTGTCTTTTCCAAAAAACCTCCCTTCTCATCATGTACCAGAAGTAGGGCAGCTTCAGTCCTGATTACTTCCTCTATTTTGCAGAAGAGTCACCTGGGATGCTAATTTAGTGTGCAGATTCCTCAGCTGCCCCCCAGGAAGGCTGACTCTGGGAGTTTGGCACCACGCCTCCTAGTATGCATTTCAATATGCACCCCAGGAGATCCTGAGGCTTTGGTCCCAGAGAAAGATCCTGCAGATGCCTTGAGAAAGCCCCTCAGTGAACTGCCTGGTGGTGGTGGTCCTAATGCCCGCTTGGTTCTCGCTGTTCAGCATGGTCAGGGACGGATGGGTTAAATGTTGATGCCTTGGGATGGACTACAGCCCAACAGTCCATTTTCCTAAACTTCAATTTGGCGATGGCAGCTGATCTCAGATGTTCATCACCCATGGGCTGTATCAGAACGGGGGTAGGAGAGAGAAGACAACCAGGAATCTGTGTATACAGGTTTAAATTGCTGATATTCAACTCTTTCTGACTTTACAAAAATGGTGGTTTTATGTGGGGGTTGACCTAGTAATTCCTCAGGTGTTTCTAATTTGAAGCTAATTTGGCAACCAACTTGTGAATATGACAGTTGGGACATGGAATTTCCAATATCTGGGAAAAGTGTTTTGTAGCTTTCATCAGACTTAAAGGCAATAAATGAACGAATGAATGAATAACTAAATAAGGATGTTCTTCCCGGAAAAATGTATAAAGTAGAACTTTTTGCATACAACCTCTGGGAGCTTTATGGACTCAACAGGCTGAAGACTCCGCATTAACTCTGTTTTACAACTTTCTTTCAGAAGGCTGCATCCTCTAGGGGTGGAGCTTTGCTGCCCCCTGCTGCCACCTGGTTCTCAAAGGGCTGGCTCTGTTCAGGCCTGGGTTCTAGTGTGGAGTTTTGTAGGAGCTAGAACCGGCTATCATCTCAGGTCGACTGACAGAGTGGCCCCGCTCTGGGCAGACGTACTGTTTTATAACTCACACACAATATTGAACTACTGTTAGTACAGGGTGTGGGGAAAAAAAGCAAAAAACAGTGACATCTATGCCTTACAACCTAAAACTTACATGACAAATAAACTATCAGGAACTGGTCGGCTTCAGCCAGTAGTCGTACTAAATTTTATTATTAAACATTTGAATGTGTTCTTTGTGCCAGGTACTGCGCTAAGTGCAGAGTTTCAGCAGTGAACAGTGTCTCTGTCCTTCAGTTTCTTATTTATCATTTATCCCAACATTCTCCTGAGGCCTAGAGTAAAAAACTGTTCTTCTGAGCTTCTAGGACCACTGGTGCTTTAGCTGCCACGGAAAATCTACTTAGAACTTTGGGATAAATGCAGTTGGTCAGCAGAGGCAGGGAAACTCTCAGGAGTTTCTCCTTTTCAGAGAACATGGCTGGGAAGTGGCATCCCAGCTGTGCCTTCATGATGTTCTGGGAGCCAAACTGCCCCCAATATTCAGAGCCTCAAGCTTAGAGAGGGCAGAACGCCTCCTTCCCTTTTGTTCTGAAGGCCAGGCTAGTGACCTGCTGAGAAAGACTTTTGAGAGAGAAAAAGCAGCAACACCCCATCTGCTCATTCCACGAAGTGTTTCCCCCCTCTGGAGTTATTTTTCAGTATTTTATAATTTTATAATAACAGCCTAAATTTTCAGGGAGGAGTAAGCTTTAAAACATTAAAGGCTTAGGTGACATTTAGTGAAAACAACTAGGAATGGGCTGCTAACAGTGAAGGCTGTGAGCCAGCATTACAATCTGCAGACCCATCTCATGGATTTCATCAGGTCATTTTTCCGGATACTGGGAACCGGGAGGCGCCAACTGCATTCTACGGTGGCAACGACAGCAACTGTGAAACTAACTACGACTCATCATGTGAACCTGAGAATTAAAAATAAAGGTTTTTCAAAAGAAAAATACAAAATGACTATTTTCCCTTTTTCATTTCCTTAAGGCACTGCCCTGCTTAGGAACTAGGCGTCACCAAAACACCTAATATATAGAAAACGAATTAGAGGCAAGCCAAGTAGAATTAGAGGCAAGCCAAGAAAAGAGCAACAGCAGTAACTGAATAAAGGAAAAAGTACTTCAGAGTCCTAGGTTTGAAAGACCTCTCAAATAATTTAAAATGTTCTGGTCACCAGAGACTTTGAGGATTCTCTGGATAAAGGAATGACAAGCAGTTGCTCCTTCCTAAGGAGAATGCACCCTAATTACACGCATCAGTCACAAACATGCTCTTAGTTTATCTAAGACTTACTGGCATAAACAGCAATGGAGGCCCATTTGATAACTTTATACCTGCTAATCGTCCAACATCTCATTTTTCATTCTATTTCACTTTTCTATTTTTACTCCCCAAAATAAAAGTTGAATCATATTATAGCAGCGGTTTTCCAAACTTTTTCATCTCATGACACACATAAACTAATTACTAAAATTCTGCACACCAAAAAATATATCTTTTGCCAATCGGACACACACAAAAAAATATGTAATTCTGCTTCATTTACATCTGATGGCTATTGTGTTGGCTGTTGTCATGTTTTTATTTGACAATCTAAGGGAAAAGAGGTCAGTGCCCTGACTCAATAGTCAGGCATTGCACATTTTAAAAATTCTTGTGGCACACGGCTGAGAATCACTGTTTTTCGATATAGCCAGAAACTGTCATTGCTGCAACAGCTGAAGGACAGTAAAAAACTACTCAACTACAAATCAATATCCTGACTTGTTTTCCAAGGGCAAAATGTATGTCTTGAGGCAAGTTTCATCCAAATTGGGTCAGGTAACAAGGAAACAATTTATTTTCAATTTGTCAATGTCCAAGAATGATGTCAAATGATAAACATGTTAAAAGGTTGGTAAAACATAAGCCTGAACACTTGTAGGCCAGCTGAGTGAGACTAGCCTGTTTGGGGGGGAAGAGAGGAGATCTGAGAAACAGACAAGCTTTTCAGGAAAGACTCCATTCTGAGTTGAAGTCTTAACAAATGTTTCTATTCGGAATGACAGTCTTACCGCTACTTTCATTCCTTATTCACAATGAATGACTAGTATAAAATAAGTGGCTGGTTTATTACAAAATGCCAAATGTTGGGGGTTAAAAAAATTGCTTGTTAAAATTAAGATGAGACCCAGCTGACAGAAAGTAAAGTATTATGTCAACAAAAAATAAGCTAACGTAATTTTCCACCAGCAAAATCCTTTCATGAGTATTGTTGACATGCTGCTAGTTAGAACTTAATTTCCTAAAGCAGAATTTTATGGTTGGAGTGGACCATAGAAACGTCTAATCCAACTCCTTATTTTACAGATAGGAAGCCTGGGGCTAGAAATTGAAGGTAGATAAAAACTGTTACTGTTTGGATTAAGATTCCTGAGTAGGAAAAAAACACAAACTAACCAAAGCAGGAAATGACTCCTCAGTACCTAATGCACAGCCATGCTTTTAATAGAAATTTGACTAGACCAGGAAGCTTTTAAATGTCAATTCCTTTTTTGGTGAGGTTGAATGTTTTGTGGCAACAATTTTTTTCTCTGATAAAAGTACATTTATTATAGAAAATGCAAAACATACAAGAAAGGCCAAAGAGAGTAAGTCATAAAAAATAGTTTAGTATATTTCCCTCAGACTCTTTTCTAGGCAACAAAAATAACTACCATTTACTTTGTAAATGGAAAGCGACGATTATTTCTTCTTGGACAAACAATCACAGGAACAGCACGGGTACAGGGCTCCCTACCTAGTGGGTGCTGCTGCAATGATTCTCAGGAGCCATTTGGAAAGCATGGTAGCTAAGGGACACACACTGCCCGCTAGTCCATCAGGTGGTGCTGACCATGGCACTGGGAAACGGCATGACCTGGATTTTCACTTTAAAACATAAACCCACCACAGCAGGAACCTAAACATGGGGTGGGGGGGA